GCTGTGAGGAGAGGCTGGGCTAGCCTGGGAGGGCAGTACACAGAGAGGAAATCGGCGTGTGAAACTGGTGGTTTCTACACAACTGTGGTTTTATTATTGTCGTTCCAGATGCTTTATTTGCAAATATCACTAAGATTTAAAAAAAAAAAAAAAAAAAAAGTGTGATCCTGGGCTTGGATGCGGGTAGCTGTCTGTTGCGGTCACTGACAACGGTCAGAAGGTGGCTTCACGTCACACTTCTGTTTAGGTACTGGCTGTGGCTTTTATCTGGTAATTTCTCTCATTTATAAAACCATAATTGTTGGAAGACCTGTGATTGCTTAGTATAAGCTTTCATCTTAGAAAAGGGTGTTTTTTGCCCTCGCTCCCTTTTTCCAAGCTGTTTTGTCCTACTCCTTTCTAGTTCTTTATATGCTGCATAGCTGTATAATGCAAGTAAAGCATTTATCCACAGTCACTTGAATGGCACTGTAAAACTGTGTGGTGAAAAAGCATATAACTACACAAATATTTTAGCATCAAAAAGAATTGGGGACTGGTGGAAAAAAACACAGCACATTTTATATGTTTTCTTTGCAGGAAATTGCTGTATAGAACTCTACATCGGCTTTTTTTTTTTGCTTCAGATAATCAGACATGGTGAGAACAATAGCACTTTTTCTATATTTTCATTCTTTCTGAAGTGGTTATCTCTTGGAAGGTGAAGAGCTGCTCTGCATCTTAAAGGATTATGCATTTTACTCTGATGCTGTGAAAAAATTTGTAATGAAAAGTTTAGGTTTTCATTTCAGACTTCTGATAAGATATTGTAAAAAGGAAAATAAGTTAGTTTACGTCAGTCTAAAATATAATTCAGTTCTAAGATCATAAATTTTAATCCTACTTTGGCAAATATTTGCTAATGTAGTTTGGTTTGTTGTGTCACAGAAGCACTTTTCAAATTGCGAGCACATAGCCCTGCTTGAGTGTATGTAACCTTTTACACCTGTAGGCTTTTGAAAGTTTAGCAGATCAGGAAATAGAGATAAGACTGTGTGTCTTAAATGGTACATACGCACCTTTTATAGCATCTTCATGGACATTGCAGGCAACTGTCTACTTGTATACTTCTGGAACAGCATGCCAGTATCAACATGTTTTATTAGTTTTATTCGTATTTTATTATGCTCAGTGTAGACCCACAATAATTGTTTTTGTATAGTTTAGCACTTTCTAGGGGAGCACTGTGATATATTGATTGGGCCTACAGAGATATATTTGCTTAGGTGACTGGGTGACTGCCATTTTAAATTTTATGAAGGTTATTTATAAATTAAGAAAAGTGTGTAATTTTGTAGATTTGTTTGTTTGTAGAGGCAGATTTATAGATAGTACCATTCAGAACTAGGCTTATCACTCAAAAGGCTGCAGGCAAGTAACACACATCAGTTGTTCCTCTGGTTGTAAACCAGTGAAGTATATGCACCACACTATCACCTGAAAGAGGTATAACCTTGATTCTTCAACTTTGCTATTAAGTGACTGAGTAGGTCCCATTCGCAAAGGAATACTGTACCTCTGGAGTGTAACAGTGTGTGAGATAGAGCTTCTGTGTTACCAGGGCGGACTTGATTTGTCCTGAAACTAAATGAAACCAAATGGTTTCTGGTGTTTTTACTGGAAACGTGGAAGATTTGTGACAGTAGCCTTGGCTATGGCCAAATATTGAAACAGTGGTTATACGCAGTGGGAACTTGCTTATGTTCTTTGTGGGACTCGGAAATAAAACTGAATCTGTTATTATTTTGTTGCTGATTTAATTATTATTTTCTGCCTCTTGCTCAGGCTGTCACACTGCATACTGATGTAGGAGATATTAAAATTGAACTATTCTGTGAGCGTACACCAAAGACTTGTGAAGTAAGTCAAGCAACAGGAGCAGGATTGCCTAGTGTTGAAACAAAGCAGTAGAAATATTGAATACTATATTGAAGACTATACGGGAGGTGAAGTGGCTTTTGTAAATCATCTTTTCACATAATGGAATACTAACATTTTAAGGTGTTACAGTGCCTATTCCACTCATGGAGCTTATGCACTGTGTCATACTGCCTAGAGGTTTGCTGCCTGTTTCTCACCACATAAGGTTTAGCTAAGGGCCGCTTTTCCCCAAGTTCCAGCATCTCCCAAAGTGTCCTTTGCCCTTAAGGGGAAATAAGGCATATGGCCTGGGATTCCCATATTTCCCTGAGTTTGCTCACACTTGCACAGATTTGATTTTAATTTAAAAGAGTGAGAATCTCTCCCAGTTTGCCAGAGACCCCAGGTTTTCCTTTCTGCAATAAACGTAGGCTTAAATTGAAATAATTTACTTCTTAACTAACAAAGCTGAGTCATTAAGTCATTGATTATAAAATTACATTTACAAAATACAAATGTTGAATAGAAGTGATACTTCAATGGAAGTGATACTTCTGAGCATATCTCGGGCTTCTTATTTGTTCCTCGAGTCAGACAACCTTGTGCTGCAAGCTTTATTTAAAATCCTTTGTATCTGTGACAGTGTCAAAGGAGCATATTAACTATAATTTATGACTATTCTGTGGCAATATTGTGTGGAATTCACATGGTCACAATGCAAAACAGAGGCAAAAGGGTTAGTCTTGGTCTTGCCAATGCTGTCATTTTAGTAAGAGGATACTACTATTTCTGAACTGGTTTTTAATATGGTTTGTTTCTTTTCCTTAGAATTTCCTGGCTCTTTGTGCTAGTAACTACTACAATGGATGCGTATTTCACCGGAATATAAAGGGCTTCATGGTTCAGACAGGGGATCCATTAGGTAAGTTCTTCTGTGCAGGTCTCTCTATAGAAAAAGGTAATAAAAATAAAATTTAAATAAGTAAAAATAAATTATAACTATGAGTATTAAAGCCAAAACATAAAGTAAAAATAAAATATAAGAATTATTGTATTGTTGGTAGAGGTTTTTATGATGAGATTAGTTTTCTTTGGTGAGCTTTCAGAAGAGCAGCCATTCCCCTAGTTCTAAATAATCATGCAGTACTAAAGCAGTCTACAAATTCAGGTTTTTCCAGCTGTTGCCACTAAATTTGATAGTTCTACTGATTTATCAGCTGTTGAACAGGTAGCAGCTGTTACTGTGGTTTCTCTGGTTTCTGCCTGAAGGGCTACACTGCCTCTAAAGCAGTTGGGGAAAATGTCCCAGGCAGTGTCAACTGTTTGGGAGAAAATCTGATTCAGCTGTGTGTCTGTTCATACTTATACTGAATTTAATGTGAGGCTATGTCAGTGTTTTGTTCTGCTATTTAATAGGTGTTCCTTATATAGTGTTATGTCTCTGCTCAGTGTCAAGACATGAGAACCCGATCCCTGCCTCAAATGAATTACAGGCTATCTAGGGTCTTTGTTGTAGAATGTTATAACAGTACATAATTTCTGGATTTTTGAGTCTGAAAAATCCAATAATTTATTATGGTGCTTCTTTGTCAGGCACTGGGAAAGGAGGTAACAGCATCTGGGGCAAGAAGTTTGAAGATGAATTCAGTGAATTCCTGAAGGTATTTCTGTGCTCTCAGTATGCAGTTATGTTTTTGTATTAATTTCTTCACAAGCTGGAGAATGATCAGCATTGTGCTGTACTGTATTAAATACCTCTTTTGTAATTGTGAGGCAAAGTATAATCCCACAATAAAGGGATAGGAAGCTTATTATGATAGGTACAGGCATTTCTGTACTTGCAAGTTAGGTTTGAGGGTTTTAATCACTAAGAACAGAAGTAGAAAGAATTTGTAACAGTCTTTTTCATGCACTGAAGGCAAAGAATCATTTTTCATTTTAAGACCAATTTTGAGGAGCTAGTTATAGACGGTGATGGAATATATTAGCAACTAAGATTTTTTCTTAATAATGGTATTGAGGCAGAGTACTAAGTCACAGACCACTTTGTACAGGTTAAAGTCTTGCTTTCACAGATGTGTGTTCATGTTGAGGTTTTTCCACTCTCAGCACAGTGTCCGTGGGGTAGTCTCAATGGCAAACAATGGGCCAAATACCAATGGATCGCAGTTCTTCATCACTTACGGCAAGCAACCGCACCTAGACATGAAGTACACAGTGTTTGGAAAGTAAGTGATCCAACTGCATGCCTCCTTATCATCGTGTGTGAGGGATCAGAATATTTCAGGGCACATGCAATGCAAATTTAGAAGCTGCTGGTTCTCAAACTCTTTAAGAGGTATAGGTAAATGTGTGCTCTTGCACTATGACCAGAATTAGTTGCTCCAAAATGCTGCGTCCTTTTTCTTAGTAGTAGGGAATTCAGTGGAAATAGGCATGTTAAAAATTACCTCAAGTATGGAGCTTTTTTTTCTTTCCTTTTTTCTTTCTTCTTTTTCTTTTTTTCCCCACCCCACTAGTTATTCCAGCTTGCCTTTTCATCCCTGCCCAAACGGATACAGCCTGATTTTAAGCAAGCTCCAGAACAACTGGAAATGCTGTTGTAGGGGTTACTGAGAAGCGAGAATCTGATTTGGGACTGGATCTGGAGATGGGTGTGGTACTGACATGGTCATGCTTCTGTTTAGGTAAAACTTCTGTTGGTCAGATGAAACTCGTGGAACTGACAGATTATAAAATCAGACAAGGTTGTTTAAGATCTTTCCTTGTTTAAGGAAATCTGAAAGCCTAAACATATTTGTGCCATTATTAGTGGTTATTAGTGATTCTGTCTAGTCTTGTCTTTGAGTCAGAAGGTTAGAAATTATAATCTGACATTTGGAAATTGATTTTCCAGCTATAGGATTTCAGTAATTCACAGTGAAGTTTGGTATGGCCAGTATCTTGTTGTTACTTAAGCCTATACTATGATTGCTCAGTCCTGCAGCCAGGGTCTTTATACAGCTATGGTTGGTATAAATAGGATACTGTCAGGTCAGTGGGAATTATTTGTACTTTTTATCAGAATCTGTCATGGATGCGTAATATTTCCTTTCAAAATGTGTTATATGCCATATATAATATTTTGGCTTATTTGTACCATTTGCTTGCAAAGTCCTTGCCCTATGTTACTTAACTGTAAAGCCCTTTGCGATATCTCAGTTATGAAATTTAAATTGTTATTAGGAGATTCCTAGCACTTCTGCTTTTCTTCCAGAGTTATTGATGGCTTGGAGACCCTGGATGAGCTGGAGAAGCTGCCTGTGAATGAGAAAACCTACCGACCTCTTAATGATGTTCACATTAAAGATATTACAATTCATGCCAACCCTTTTGCGCTGTAGCCATAGAGTGCCTTGACACATTCTTTAGAGACGAGTCAGATAGACTGCTGAGTTATGGGGTTTAAAGTGTCTAATATTAAAAAGGGTTACTTGAGCTGGATTGTACCTGTGCTTACCGAATGCAGGATTTTCAGGAGTTGTGACATTGTTTGGGAGTTGTCACAGAGGAATATTGTGCTTTAGAAGACAGTTTTTCCAGAGTATCTTCCAGGATTTCAGTTTTTAAACATTGCCTTTTATACTTGTAAAATAAGAAAAGACTTATATATTTTTTTTGTGAATCTTTGTTTTCTGCCTTACCTTTTTTGGTGATACTATGTTGAGACAATGTCCTTTGCTACAATTTCATGCTACCAGTTTTCTGAAGCTTTCTTATGTAAATTCTAACCTTCTTTACTGGTTCTTAGAAAACTGAGTAAGGTGCGCAATGTTTTCTCCTAGGCAAGAGCAGTGTCATAGATAGATGAAGCCTTTCTCTCCTAGAGGATTAAAGACCGTGTTTAGAGGACTGCTTGTTCTTATACTGCTGTGTTGGAATGGTAACCTCTTCAGCCTCCCCAAAAGGTAGATCAGAAACAATCGCTTCTGCCTCTGGCACGATGCTTTTGATATCACTGTTGATTGAAACTAGGTAACCAAGGGGTTTACTGTACCTTGGTTTTCATCACTATTGTACAAACAATAGGGGGTAAACAGAGTAGTGACAAAAAGACTGTGATCAGACTTCTAATCAAGAATATCCTGATACACCTGCCATACTGGAAACTTTCCTACAGTGCCAAGGAACCAATAATTTAAAACACTGACATCTAGTACTTAGCTGGAAACAGTTCGAGGCCTATTTTGTTTTGGTCGGGTTTTTTTCTGATACACCCAAAACAATAAAAGATATTGTAGCCAAGATTATGTTGAACAAATAAGAGAGAGCAGGACTCAAATAAGAAAGTCTGCAAGAAGGTACAGAGGTGTCTGAATATTAACTGGTCAAGAGGAAAAATACAATACATGCATACGTATGCATGCATATATTGCTGATCCTATGCTCAAATCACTTAGTATAGGCAAGCATAAAATAAACTGACTTAAGCAGGGAAAAGAGAGTGATTTGAACACATTAAAAAAAAAGCAGTTCTCCACCTTGGGCACACTGGGAAAAGCAGAATGTTCTGTTCTTCCTTGTTGTAGATTTTAAAAAGGCATTTTGGCATCAGTTTATTTTCATAAAGCAGGAAAAAATCAACTAATTTCCACAGAGGTTAACTTTCTGAATCTCTAATACATAGAGGTGAGAGGGTGTATTTCTAGTTCCAACTGTGCATGAGAGACCTGGACAGGAGAGAGTACCCACAGTTCTTGCATCCACCTTCTGCCATTCTGGACTTCTTTCCAATCCTCTTTGGACTCAGTCAACCTTACTTAGCAAAGTCCATTCTCATATACGTGCCTTGTAATCCTTGGGAGGTCCAGGTCCCGCTGACTGGCAGTCTGCTTCAGACCAGTATTTCCCATTTTGAGACTTTGTCTCTTAAAATGAAGAGGAGAACTTAGTTGCAAGTGAAAGGCAAAGGTATGCCAGGTACAGATTACTGAGGCGTTAATGAGCAGAGTTAATCAGTACCCTCTCTCTGGGACAAAGTTTCTATATTCTGTACGGAGTGTTGCTTTAAAGCTCCTAGTCCTTGCTCCAGACTTAATACATTTTAGCATAATACTTCAGTCAGGTAAAAAAAAAATATCTATTTTAGCTCTTTCTGCTTCTTCTGTATAACCAGTGGCAAGAGCAAGTAGACACAAACATGCAACTCGATGTTAGACTGCTGCACTCATGCTACTTCCTTGCAGAAGGAAGGATGTACTGGAAGCCTTCCTCCAGTGCAAAGGAACCAGCAATTTAAAACACTGACATATAGTACTGAACTGGAAACAATTTCGGGCCCATTTTCTTTCCTACACAAAAAGAACGATGTTATATAGAAGATGTGAAGTACAGGGGCACCAAGTAATTTGCTCTTTGGAGGATACATTAAATCTAGTTCCTTTCTTTTTAATCTAAAGCTGTGTTTTGGAAGGAGAGTGATCTTATAGGACAGGATTACATCCTAACTTTTAAAAGTTGTATTATGTCTGTTTTCTTGTTTGTGGCTCTGAACCTCTCCCAGTTTCTCTCTGAGAACCTGGAATGCAACAGGAAAAATAATGGTGAGGTTGGTCCCATCCACCTGTTGAAGAGAAGGCAAGACAGAGAGTAGGAAGTAGCCTGGCTGTGGAAGCGTGTGATTTTGTGGGCAGTTGCTGAGTACTGCGTACGTGCAATTTAGTTCTTGCACACAGTCAGCTGTTGTGTCACCAGGTGTTTGGACTTTTGTGACAAGTATAATCCTGTAACTAGCAAAGATGTTACAAACAGTACTGTTCTTATTGTTGTTGACTTGTGCTTTATGAACTCCTCTGCTGACTTCTGTCAGTCCGGGCCTTTATCACAAACACTCCAGCCCCAAGGTGAGTTCTGTTGAAATAAATCTGCCCCTTCAAAGAAAAATATGTACGTTAACACAACAATCTTGCGTTATGACTGTGATGGAGGGTCTCATCGTGTATATTCTAGATTGTCTCTGACCTTTGCTGGTGTTAGAAAAACAATAGGTAAAGCTGGTGTTGGCAGCATGTCACGGTGTGAGCAGCACTTAGTCTAAGCTGGAGAGCAATGGACAAAAAGAAAATAATGGTGCACTATCTGTGGACAAACTTTCATGTGTAACGTACATATTGTATGATGATCACGGGGTTGGTTGGGGAAATAAATTTTTCAAAGTTTACAAAGAGCAAGGAGGGTAACTTACCAGGGTTGGGAGTGTTTCAGAATGTTTCGTCCTTCCCAGAATAAAAAAAAATTGTTGGGTTTTAGGGAACTGATGTGTGCAGGCTGTTGTGGAGTTTTCAGGACAGTTATATCTTTAGATGCTCTTTTTTCCACATAAATTGGATTGCATATGAGATGTTTGACTGCTTATTGTGGGTTTTAAACCAAATGGCAGGTGTAATGCTTGGTTAGCTCTGCTGAGGTGACGATGGATAGATGGCTGACAGGCTTCAGAGTTCCCTCTGGGAGAGGTGGTGGCTGAAGGGCTGCAGCGAGGCTCAGGGCAGTGAGAAGGGCTGCTGTGACTGAAACTGCCGGGTGTGCCGCAGTAGTGAGCAGCAGAGGAATCAAGGATTCGTTTTGTGAGATGGTTTGGTTTTGGTGTTTGTTTTTTGGTTTTTTTTTTTTTTTTTTTTTTTTTTTTTTTTTTTTTTTTTTGTTCTGTGGGTATAGAAGACTGATCTGTACACTCAGGTGGAGAGCTGCATTTAGTTTCTTTTACAGTGGGTATTTGTGTTCTGTCCAGGCTCAAAAACATGTCTAAAAGCAAGTAAAGGATACCACGAGACATTAAAAAAAAAAAGCATTCAACTGTTTAGAAATGTTTTTGATGCCAATGATTTACAAAGGTATCTGCTAGTCATACGTGGTCCTTTGAACCTCTGTCGATTTAAAGCTGGCTGGGTGCATGCTTTGGGAGCTTCTGTTTTCTAGGAAACAATATTTCCAGGGAAGTACAGACACAAGTAACAGCCTTGATCACGCAGGGCTCCCGGA